GGATTGGTTCCATAAAATGAAGCGCAGTGCAAAAGGCCAGATGGGAGGCAGAACAAAGAAATCAACACAAGCATCTCTGCTATAATGCCATTTACGTGTTAAAAAAAAAGAATAGTACTATTCTAGCAAATCACACAAGATCTGTACCTAGAGCACTAACCAAACAGCAATAATCCTGATAAAAACATACTAGTGCGATGAAAGGGTATGTGAAGAAGGTTGCTGGGTTATGTGCACAAGAAGAGAAAGGAAAAGGGAGAAAGACCAGAGAGAACTGCCTGACAGCACTTCTGAAACACGGCACGTGACCAAACGGAGCCCAGAGGAAGAGCATGGGGTGAATGGGTACCATGTACTCGCCAAGCCATGAAAACCAATGTGACTCCCCCATACTGGTATTCCCTCACGTACTGATCACATACAAGCTACTTCCCATCACAGAATCACTTACTAAAGGAAAATGGGTCATTTGTTAAATACTACAATTAAATAGGAATTAGATGCTCTTGTTCAATCCAGTGAAAGAACCTACGGACTAGTTGTCATCTGGTCCTATTTGTCAGATGAAGAAATAAGGCTCAGAGTAACTTCCAAAGTCAGACAGCTAATACTTGGTGCAGATGCGACACGATCCCAAGTCCCTGCTCTTCCCCCAGGGTGATGACACCCTGGGAATGAGTGACCAGGGAGGAGAGAAGGTGGAGGCAGGGCATGGAGGCAGGGTGGAGTGCAGAAGGGTAGGTGTTGCGCAATGCCAGGCCAGCCAATGACACGAGAAGAAGCAGGAAAGGGCGAGCCTCAGCTCCCCAGCAGCCTGGTCCTGAGCTCCGGGCCCAAGCTGATAAGAAAGTGTCATCAAAACCCACAGTGCCAGGCATCTGGCTGGCTCAGCCGGTGGCACATATGAGTCTTTATCTCTGGCATGGAGTTTAGGGATGGAGGGATGTGGGATGGAGGCTGGACCCATGGAAGGGAAGGGCCAGATCAAATAAACTGTGTCATCAAAACATCCCAGCAGGAATACGACATGTGAGAGCCAGGAATAAGTTCCTTAGCAGTCCCAGACCTGCCACACCTCCACTAAAGGAAATGCAGCCTGGATTTCTGCACTGTAAGAGGGCAGCAGGGAAACACCATTTCAAAATGAACACGAGAAATGGATGCTGTCCAAACAAGGAGGTCAGGGGCAAGAAGTCAGCTTAAGAAAAAATGTCCAATGAACAGACACTTAAGGCCAAGGGGCAATTTAACAGACACTTTTAAAAAAAAATTTTTTTTTTAACGTTTATTTATTTTTGAGACAGAGAGAGACAGAGCATGAACGGGGGAGGGTCAGAGAGAGGGAGACACAGAATCTGAAACAGGCTCCAGGCTCTGAGCTGTCAGCACAGAGCCCGACGCGGGGCTCGAACTCACGGACCGCGAGATCATGACCTGAGCCGAAGTCGGCCACTTAACCGACTGAGCCACCCAGGCGCCCCAACAAACGCTTTGAAGTATAAAGAGGTTAGAAGAAAATTACCATCCAGCTAGTTGTCCCTGACACAGAGGCCAACCTGTGTGGAAAGAAATATGGAAGTCCAACTGGATAGGGGGAAGGCATTTTAGCCTGAAGGGAAAAGTTAGGTAAATCTTTAGGAGGGGGGGGGAAGGTTCTGGAATCTTTATTCCTGAATATTGCTTTTATAAAGATCTCACGATATTGAAGAGCCATTGGGTTTTCTCTTTTACTAACAAGTCACTTAACCTCTGAGAACCTGATTTTTCTCATTGGCAAAGCCTCACAGAAATGCTTGCCACAGTGCCAGCATACCATAAGAACTCAATAAGCAGCAGCTGTCAGTCTTATGTTCTATGCATCAGACTCCATGGTAAGCAATGGGGATACGGGACTCCTCGGTCACATCCTGTATTATTTTCTTCAGTGCATTTATAATTATTTGAATTTCACCTTTATTAACTGGTTTACACATTTGTCTTATCTCCCACAACTCTTGAACATACGTACCGTGAAAGCCTGCCTTGGATAACTGGGATCTTAGATTTAATGGGGCCACAGCCTGAGACCAGACAGCTTTGTTAAGTCCTTTTGCATCATCTCCCCCTCAATGATGGCTTGTAAAAGCTAGCTTTTGGAGTTCTGGCAACAAAGGAGCTCTATTGTGTAGGATAAGGCTTTGAGTGTCTAAATCTGGTAATGAATCAAAGTTAGTGACTCCAATAAAATGAAAACAATTCACAACAACTGTTTCCATTATTCAGATAACCGGTCACAAGACTCATTTGCAAATACAAAGACACTCATTCTAAGACATCGCGGATTACACGGCAAACACTTTTCTCAAGAAGCCTCAAAAAAGAAAAGAGACATCCAAGTTCATCAGAGCTAGGTATTTAATGGCACAGGGCCTTTGTGCCAGCAGCATATCAGAGACAGCCAAGGTGCCAAGGACACCTACCCTCCCCAGGAGCTCTATTCTTCCTGTGTCTATCACAGGGCAACACAGCACAGATGTTCTCCCGAAGGTACTCAGAACTCAGTGGTGCTAAGCTCAACCCAATAAAGATTCACTGGGCGTCTACTGCGCACATGGTGTATGGGGCACACAAGGGGCTCAAAGGTAAAGATGACATGGTCCCTGTCCTCGAAGAGCTTACAGTCCAGTAGAGGAGGCCAAGAACAGAGCCACCAGTGATAACAGACAAGACAAAGTGCATCAGGGTGATGGCTGAGCCCTGGCAGGTGTTCCTGTTTGAAGAGAGGAGGACCCAGTTGGGGAACCAGCCCAAGCAGACACCTGGAGCCTTTAGAGTTTGTGGCGCATCATGAAGGGGAGCAGACCACTGCACCCGGGACACAGGGTCCATCTGGGGATCACGTAAAGGACAGCCCTGCAGACTCAATCCTGTAGTGCTGGCAGGGAGGGCTTGGTGGGGGGAGGGGGTTTCAACGTCCTTGGGGCCGTCAGCCCCACAGTTGCAGCCCTGGTGACCTGCAGGGCTGGGGTGGGGCTGGTCATGGCTGCAGCAGAGCAAGTGGCCTCCCCAGCAAGAGTGAAAGCGGTGGGGAGGGTGATCCCACAGCGGCGGGACCCAAGCCCCAGCATAAGTGAGCAGCTTCTGTGCTGGGGCACGAGCTAGCCTGCTCTGTCTGCACTGCTCCCCGCTCACAAGACTGGGGGAGGGCAGAGTACACAGGCTTCGGGACGGAGCTGCTTACCAGGCCTGCTCCGCGTGCCCCCGGGCTGGTGATCTGACCTCTGCCCGCCTCAGTTCCTCATCTGTCGGCTCGGCAGCCAGTCTTTCCAGAGTGCCTGCCCTGTCCTAGACCCTGGTCTGGTGCTCGCTGTGCTAGTCCCTTTCACTGTCACCACCCCATGAGACAGGCTCTACTCTTACCCAATTTACTGATGAGGAAACTGTGGGACAGAGAAATTATGCAACTTGCCTCAGGTCTCACAGTGGGTATGTCGCCTGCCGGGACCGGAACCCAGGCAGTCCAGCTCCAAAACTCGCATCTTAATGGCTATCCCACAGTCTCTCAAAAGTGAAAAACAAATGGAACTGTCTGGAAGGACTGCTGCCGGGAAAACACGGCGCTGAAAGGACCTGACACAGAGGTGGAGTCAGTATATGCTGGGTTCAGGTGAGAGACAACTGTTACTCAAAATATACAAAGATCTCTTAAAACTCAACATAAGAAAACAAACAACTCAATTAAAAATGGCCAAAGACCTTAGCAAACACCTCACTAAAGAAGACAAGCAGATGGGAAACGAGTATATGAAGAGAGTCATGTGTCATCAGAGAAATGCACATGAAAACAAGGTACCAGTACGTGCCCATTAGAATGGCCAAAATCTGGAACACTGACAACACCTGGGGCAATAGGAACACTCATTCGTTGTGACTGGGAATGCGATATAGTAGAGCCACTTTGGAAGACATTCGGGCAGGTTCTTAAGAAACTAAACATGCTTTTACCACATGATCCAGTAATCCTGCTCCTTAGTATTTGCCCAAAGGACTTGAAAACTCATGTCTACACAAAAACCTGCACATGGAGGTTTACAGCAGCTTTACTCATAATTTGCCAAAATTTGGAAGCAACCATGATGTCCTTCAGATAAACCGTGGTACCTCAAGACAATGGGATACTCAACACTAAAGAGAAATGAGCTGGGGAGCCTGGGTGGCTCAGTTGAGTGTCGGACTTTGCCTCAGGTCATGATCTCGTGGTTTGTGAGTTCGAGCCCCGTGTCGGGCTCTGTGCTGACAGCTTGGAGCCTGGAGCCTGCTTCTGATTCTGTGTCTCCTCTCTCTCTACCCCTTGCCTGCTCACACTCTGTCTCTGTCTCTCTCTCAAAACTAAATAAACATTTTAAAAAAAATTTAAAGAGAAATGAGCCAGTAAGCTACAAAAAGTCATGGAGAAACGTGTGTATGACTAAGTGAAAGAAGCCAATCTGAAAAGGCTACATACCATACAGTTCCAACTCTATGACACTGTGGAAAAGACCAAACTCTAAAGACTGTAAAAAGATCAGTGGTTGCCAGGGGTGTGGGGGTAGGGGTCGAATAAGCAGAGCACAGAGGATTTTTAGGGCAGTGAAAATATTCTGTATGATACCATAATGATGGATACAGGTCATTTTCACGGTTTCCCAGCCCACAGAATGTACGACTCTTGCGGGGGATGTTGATAATGGGGAAGGCCATGCCTGTGTAGGGGCAGGGAGTATTTAGCAAATCTCTGTACCTCCCCTCAGTTTTGCTGTGAACTTAATGCTCTAGGAAAGTAGAGCCTTCATAAAATTTGTGTGTGTGTGTGTGTATATACATGCACCTCAGTAGCTGTTAATACTGGTCCTAAAGACAGCAGAGGAAGGCAGGCATTGGGAGCAACTGTCCAGGCGCAGAGGGAAGTGGCATTTCCCTGCAGGACCCCAGCCCCTTCAGCTGCCCCCCTCCAGGGCCCTCCCAGAGCTGCGGCTTCTCACAGGCCCACAACAGGGCCGCCTGCTCGGCCTGGTGCTGAGTGCCAACCGCCAGCCCCACCCAGGACATCAGGCTTCCACACCAGGCCCGGCCCACTCCTTCCTCACCGTCCAGTGCCAGGCCAGGCTGCGGAAGTGACCACGAAACCCCAGAGCAGAGCTGCCCAATGGGACTGGCTTGGGTCCTTCCCAGGTCAGCTCCAACACCCCAGGAGGGGCAGGAGAGCTCCCATGTGCTCACGGAGTTCCCCACGATGGCTCCTTGGAAACTGTGATAAGGTATCCGCCCCACACAGAATATCGTGGCGGACTCCAAGACACCTGTAACAGTCCCCGTCCTCAAAGTGCACAGAGATCGTCAGCTTGAACTGCACTGCAGGAGCCCCTAATTAGTATCTCCACAACTGCAATCCATTCTTGCAACCCACCCGGGTGAGGTTTTAAAAACGTGGCTGTGATTATGTCCCGTTTAGCTAAGAGCCCTCTGACTGCGCTGGATAAGCTAAAATCCGAATGCCACAGGCGCTCCTTGATGGGGCCCCTGCCCACCCCTCCCAGGTCTTGCCCCCCACCTCTTCCCCCTGTTCAACAGGCCCCAGTAACACTGACCCTCTTCTGCTTCTTTCAAGAAACCATGTCCGCTCTCCCCTAAGAGGCTTCACACAGGCTGATGGACCGCTCCTCCTAAAGCCATCTCCAGTGTCCCGGATGGGGTGAGGCTCCCCACCAGGGCCCTTGCTCCAAAACCCTCCTCACGGCAATTCCCAGGGAGCTGTCTCCCCCGCCAGGCTGCAAGCTCCCGACCTTCTTCACTGGTAGGTCCTAGTGCACAGTGCGGTGCTCAGTGAAGGGCCAAATGAATAAGAACATGAACAAATGGAGATGAGGGGTGGAAAGGAAACAGTAAGGCACAGAGGGAACCGCAGGCCAGAATCAGAAGGGGACTGGTGTGCATCCAGTAACTAATTTTAGCCAATGTCCTCACGTTACAAGGGTTGAAACAGATTCTAAGGCGAGATGCCTTTTGGGCCCACATGCCCCACACAGCTGTTCCTCACTGGGAAGCATTAAGTGTCACAAGAGTGTTCCTTCTGTTCTTTACAGCACATCCTTTTTTTTTCATGTTTGTTTATTTTTGAGAGAGAGAGACAGAGTGCGAGTGAGGGGTAGAGAGACTGAGACACAGAATCTGAAGCAGGCTCCAGGCTCTGAGCCGTCAGCATAGAACCCAACGCAGGGCTCGAACCCACAAATCATGAGATCGTGACCTGAGCTGAAGTCGGACACTTAACCGACTGAGCCGCCCAGACAGCCCCAGAGCATCCGTTTTCTGTCCCACTATTCACTTTGGTGTGTGCAGCAGAGAAAACTGAAAGCATAAAGGCTTAGAGAGTTTACAGAGACTTAAAAGGAATGAAGCCTTATTAGGAAGAAGATTTTCACAATCATCAGACTCTCCTTCCTGTAAGGGACACTGGCGAAGGGAAAGGAGGCAAGTTACTGTCACCCAGACTCATCCGGAGTTGAGCCTCCAGCACCTGAGTGGTGCCTGAGTATGAGGGAGAGCTGGGAAGAAGCAAAGCCTCTCATCTCAGCTGTATTGGCTCATCACAATACTGCAAAGCACGCCCAGGTTGCAAAAGCTTAACATACACTAGCTTCAGCATCAACCAGCACGTACTGAATACAAACCATGCTTCAGGCCTCTTTCCATCTATTCTCTCATTTGATAGGTATCATTTTCTGTTTTGCAAACACAACCTGGTCAAAGAAGAGGGAAACCTCACCAAGAAAGGGTACAGAACATCTCTCTCTGTGCTTTTTGAAATTTTAAGAACCCTTATGCATGATCATCAAATGTGCAGCAGATGTTAACACTTAAAAGAAAGAGCTTTGTTGTTTTTTGTTTTTTGTTTTAAGAGAGTGTGAGAGAGAGGGTGTGAGCAGGGGAGAGGGACAGAGTGGGAGAGACAGAATCTCAAGCAGGCTCCATGCCCAGTGTGGAGCCCAACACAGGCTTGATCTCATGACTCTGGGATCATGACCTAAGCCAAAATTAAGAGTCATATGCTCAACCAACTGAGCCACCCAGGAGATGCAAAAGACTTATTTATTTATTAACATTTATTTATTTTTGAGAGACAGAAAGAGACAGAGCATGAGCAGGGGAGGGGCAGAGAGAGAGAAGGAGACACAGAATCGGAAGCAGGTTCCAGGCTCTGAGCTGTCAGCACAGAGCCCGACG